CAAAACAGCCAACGGCAGATCCAAAATTTCCAGAGGCCTGGAGGATTTTTTTACATGCATCTGAACACTCTGTACAGTTTAATTAAACAATTTTAATGCCAATTTCTGAGTCGTCCCGTGCTCCGTCTGCCCCCCTCCCCTCACGAGGAGGGCGCACGCGCTCCCGCGGCTCACAGGGCCCTCCATCTAAGATCCACTCTGTCTGCTTCTCACTTCCGTTCCCGACAGTGAGTGCGTCATGTGGAGGTGGGCCGTCGGCGGGCGCAGCGGGGCCCCGGGGGCCCCCCCTCCCTTACCCGACACCGATGACGGACCGACTCCCAGGTGTGCCACAGCGCCCCACATCTGTACCACAGCACCCCAAGTGTGCCAAGGGCTCCGCGGCCACAGGCTGCAGAGCACACCGAGCTCCGGCCTCAGGACGGCGCCCAGCAGCTCCTCCAGACCAGACACAGCAGCAGCAGCAGCAGCAGCAGCAGCAGCAGCAGGTTTGGGAGGAGTGTCTCCCAAGAGCTCAGGGTAGAAAATGCCCTCCAGGTTGCCTGGCCGCCCCCCTCAAACTGTGACTGGGCCACTGGATGCCCGATGACTACAGATCGTCGGACTGTAGGTGCCTTTGTACAAAAACGGAAGCAAAACCACCACTGGGCTTTCTCTCCTGCAGAATTCTGGAAGCCCTTGAATTTGGAAGGGCACACAGCTGCCCCTGGGCATGACCGGGCCCTGCAGGAAGCCAGGCCTCCCCTGGTGGCCTCCACCTTCCCGATGCCCTCCGGCTCACCTGGGGGCTTTGCGTGGGCCCTGCGGCTGGACAGTAGCTTCCTGCTACTCTGGTCCTCAGAGGTCGACCTAGGCCTCTGAGACACCATCCCTTCCCTTCCACGTGCGGCCTGTGTTCCTCACTGGAACGGAGCGCCCAGAGGCCGGGCGGGGCTCACAGTGGTCACTGCAGCTGCCCGTAGCGGCTTGCTGTCGGCTCCTCACGTGTGTCCAGCAGCCGCCAACAACCCTCACCTTAACTATTTTATTTTGTTTTTCCTGTGCCAATACTGAGCTAGAACTCAGGGCATCAGCTGTTTTACTCAACTGGAGCTCTACCACTTGAGCCACACCTGCACGTCCAGCTTTCTGGTGGTTCACTGGAGATAAGCACGTTTCCTGCTAGGATTGGCTTGGAACTGGGGTCCTCGGATCTCTGTCTCCTGCATAGCTCGGATTTCGGGGTGACGGGAATGAGCCACCTGTGCCTGGCTTCACCTTAACTTTTACTGAGATGTGAGGAAAGGCTCGGGCGGGCTGCAGATCACCAGAATCCCAACCTATCTGAGCCCGTGCAAGAGGTGTCCCCGACTTGGGCCCCTCCTGGCCCCTCTCAGTAGCAGGGCCTCTAATTGCTCTTTGAGGGCCTTAATTACAGCCACAGTCAGCCACCACTAAGGAGGAGCATTAACACAGAGTAAATGTTTTCCTTTTCTTGAAAAGTTCACATATACAAGCGGAGGAGCGGCGGGGCAGCCAGACAGCTCTGCCAGGTTGGGCCCCCCTCTCCTCCCCTCCCCGCCTCCCCCGGCCTTCCCCTGCCCCTGCCCCCGGCCTTCCCCTGCCCCTGCCCCTGCCCCTGGTCCCCCGGCCTTCCCCTGCCCCTGCCCCTGCCCCTGCCCCTGCCCCTGGTCCACCGCCTCCCCCGGCCTTCCCCCTGCCCCTGCCCCAGGTCCACTGCCTTCCCCAGCCTTCCCCTGCCCCTGCCCCTGGTCCCCCGGCCTTCCCTTGCCCCTGCCCCTGCCCCTGCCCCTGCCCCTGCCCCTGCCCCTGGTCCACCGCCTCCCCCGGCCTTCCCCAGCCCCTGCCCCTGCCCCTGGTCCCCAGGCCTCTCCCTGCCCCTACCCCTGCCCCTGCCCCTGCCCCTGCCCCTGCCCCTGGTCCCCAGGCCATCCCCTGCCCCTGCCCCTGCCCCTGCCCCTGCCCCTGCCCCTGGTCCCCAGGCCTCTCCCTGCCCCTGGTCCCCAGGCCATCCCCTGCCCCTGCCCCTGCCCCTGCCCCTGCCCCTGCCCCTGCCCCTGGTCCCCAGGCCTCTCCCTGCCCCTGCCCCTGGTCCCCAGGCCTCTCCCTGCCCCTGCCCCTGGTCCCCAGGCCATCCCCTGCCCCTTCCCCTGCCCCTGCCCCTGGTCCCCAGGCCATCTCCTGCCCCTTCCCCTGCCCCTGCCCCTGGTCCCCAGGCCATCTCCTGCCCCTGCCCCTGCCCCTGCCCCTGGTCCCCAGGCCATCCCCTGCCCCTGCCCCTGCCCCTGGTCCCCAGGCCTCCCCTGCACTGTGGTCCTGGGAGGCAGGGCTATGCCCTCTGAGACCAGCTCCCACAGCACCTGCTGCCCTCACCCTGGGCTGGAGGCCGCGGCAGTCCCTCAGGGCCTGTGCACCCCCTTCCTGCCCCTGGGCACTGGTGCACCCCGGAAATGTGTGTGCACGTGTGTGTACATGGGTGTGTGCATGTGTGCACCTGTGTGTCCTCTCAACGCCCCAGCCTGGAGGAGGCTGAGGTAGAAACCCCGTACCCGCTGGGGTTTTGGAGAAAACCAAAAACACTGCAGAACAGAACCCGCCAACTCCGGGACAGGAAGGTGGCTCCCGGAGCCAGCGTGGGGCCTGCTGCCCCGCGGCCCTTCCAGAGGCCGCAGCCCGGGGTGCTACATCACGGGGAGCCGTCCCGGGCCTGGCGGTCATGGGGTGTCTGGGGGGCCAGCCCTGGGGTGGTGGGTCACGGGGAGCTGGTCCTGGGCTTGGAGGTCATGGGGTGTCTGGAAGGATCCGTGCGAATCCAGGGGAAGACGCCGGCGGCCTCGGTCCCCGCGCAGCAGGGCAACTTTTGAAGCTGTGCAGGGTGTGGGCTTTGCCCATAGGCTGCGGGCTGTGTGGGGTGCGGGCTGTGTGGGGTGCGGGCTGTGCGGGGTGCGGGCCGTGCGGGGTGCGGGCTGTATAAGGTGCGGGCTATGCGGGGTGCGGGCTGTATAAGGTGCGGGCTGTGTGGGGTGCGGGCTGTGCGGGGTGCGGGCTGTATAAGGTGCGGGCTGTGTGGGGTGCGGGCTGTGCGGGGTGCGGGCTGTATAAGGTGCTGGCTGTGTGGGGTGCGGGCTGTATAAGGTGCTGGCTGTGTGGGGTGCGGGCCGTGTGGGGTGCGGGCTGTATAAGGTGCGGGCTGTGTGGGGTGCGGGCCGTGTGGGGTGCGGGCTGTATAAGGTGCGGGCTGTGCGGAGTGCGGGCTGTATTGGGTGCAGGCCGTGCGGGGTGCGGGCCGTGCGGGGTGCGGGCTGTGTGGGGTGCGGGCCGTGCGGGGTGCGGGCTGTATAAGGTGCGGGCCGTGTGGGGTGCGGGCTGTGCGGGCTGTATTGCGTGCGGGCTGTATAAGGTGCGGGCTGTGCGGGGTGCGGGCTGTATTGGGTGCGGGCTGTGCGGGCTGTATTGGGTGCGGGCTGCGGGCTGTATTGGGTGCGGGCTGTGCGGGGTGCGGGCTGTATTGGGTGCGGGCTGTGCGGGGTGCGGGCTGTATTGGGTGCGGGCTGTGCGGGGTGTGGGCCGTGCGGGGTGCGGGCCGTGCGGGGTGCAGGCTGTGCGGGCTGTATTGGGTGCGGGCTGTATAAGGTGCGGGCCGTGTGGGGTGCGGGCTGTATTGGGTGCGGGCTGTATTGGGTGCGGGCCGTGCGGGGTGCGGGCTGTATTGGGTGCGGGCCGTGCGGGGTGCGGGCCGTGCGGGGTGCGGGCTGTACCGCGCAGGCGGGGCGCGCGGGGGCGCGCGGGGGCGGCGCGCGGGGGCAGGCGCGCGGGGGCGCGCGGGGGCAGGCGCGCGGGGGCGCGCGGGGGCAGGCGCGCGGGGGCGGGGCGCGGGGGCGCGCGGGGGCGGGGCGCGGGGGCGCGCGGGGGCGCGCGGGGGCGCGCGGGGGCGCGGGGGCGGGGCGGGTGGGTGGGGCGGGGCCCGCCGGCGCCGCGCCCGCAGTGGGCGGGGAAGGACGTTGGCGCCGCTCCCCGCCCCGCCCCCGCCTGCGCGCGCGCGCCCCCTGGTGTCCGGAGCGCCCGGGAGACCGCGGAGGGGAGGGGAGGGGGCGGGGCCCAACCATCCGTGGACCCGGCGCGGGCGGGGCGGGGCGGGGCGGGACCGGACGACCCCCTCCAGGACCGCATCTCAAGATCGGACGCGGCGTCCCTCCCCGCACCCCTCACGGGCCCGGACGTCCCCGTCGCCCTGGTCCCCGCAGGGCGGCCCCCGCTCGGCCCGGCCCCGCCCCCGCTCGGCCCGGCCCCGCCCCCGCTCGGCCCGGCCCGGCCCCGCCCCCGCTCGGCCCGGCCCCGCCCCCGCTCGGCCCGGCCCCGGCCCCGCCCCCGCGCGGCCCGGCCCCGCCCCCGCCCGGCCCCGCCCCCGCCCGGCCCCGCCCCTGCTCGGCTCGGCCCCGCCCCCGGCAGCCCGGCCCCGCCCCCGGCAGCCCGGCCCCGCCCCCCGCCCCGCCCCCTCCGCCGATCACTCCGAAGTTTCCAGTGCGGAGCGCGGACGGGTTCGCGGCTCGCTCGCCAGCCGGCCCGGCCGCGCCCCCGCCGGCGCCCGCCCCGCCGCGCGCCCAGCGGTTCCCCGTGGCCGGCAGCCGTCGCCGCTGCCGGGCGCGCCGGGGCGGGAGCCGGAGTCGGAGCCGCGGCGGGAGAGCCGGGTGCGGGCCGGGGCGGCGGGGACCTGCGCCCGGGCGATGCCCGCGGGGACGCGGCCGGCCGGCGGAGCGAGGTGAGCGGCGGCGGGGACGCGCGCCCGCCGCGCCCGGGCCCCTCTCAACTTGGGCGCCGGTGCGGGCGGGGCGGGGCGGGCTCGCGGCGGGCGGGGCGGGGCGGGGGCGCCGCCGCTAATGAGCGGAGACAAAGACGCCCGGCGGCCGCGGCGCCCGCAGCTCCGGCGCGCCCCGCGGGCGGGCGGCGGCGCGGTGACGGACCGGGCCCGCGCCCCGCCGCAGGTGCCGCCCGCCGCCAGCATGACCGAGGGCGCGCCGCCCGCCGGCGAGGTCCGGCTGGCCCTGGGCGCGGCGGCCCCGGCCGGGCCCGGGGCGCAGCGCGGGGCGGCGGCGGGCGCGTCGCCTCCCGAGAGCCCCGCGGCCGAGCGCGGCGCGGAGCCCGGCGCCGACGAGGAGCGGCCGGCCCCGTACCCGGCGCTGGCGGCCACCGTCTTCTTCTGCCTGGGGCAGACCACGCGGCCCCGCAGCTGGTGCCTGCGCCTGGTGTGCAACCCATATCCTTCCGGGCGGCGCGGGGCGGCGCGGGGCGCGGGGCGGGGCCGCGGGGCCGAGCGGGGCCTCGTGCGCCCCGGCCGGGACGGGGAATCCTCGCCGGCGTCCCCGGCGTCCGGCCCGGGGAGCGGGGGGGGGGGGGGGGGACCCCGGTGCGGGGCCGGTGCGGAGCCAAGTTTTCCACCTGCGCCCCGCGTCCCTCGGGCGCCGGGCGCGGGGAGAGGGGCGGTGCCGCGGGGAGAGCCCGACTCCCGGGCTGAGCTCGGGGCCTGCTCCCCACAGGCACGCAGACTTTCAAAGAAGGTTCCAGAACAGAGTTGGGTCGGGGCCAGGAGCCGTGTCTGGGGGGAAGCTCGAGGTCCGGCGGTCCCCAGCAGGTGGCCCCTGGGGACCATCCCAGCCAGGCCTCGCTGCCCGCGGGGTCCTGGGGGCCCGTGGCCGGGTGGGTGCTGCGCCCTTCCCTCCGGGCCCGGCTGGCGGGGAGGTGCAGGGGGCTGAGACCGGAGCCCGCGCGCTGCCCCTGTGCGAGTCCAGCAGACAGGCGGAGGGAGCCGTGTGTGTATACATTTCTCTACCGTGTGTGCTCAACTGTATAAATATTAAATACAAAAGAGGAGTCTGCACCGAAAAAAAAAGTAATCAAGCCCGTGTTTCTCTTCTCTGAAATCCAAACACGGGGTGAGTCAGCTTGGGCCGCGCCGCGGTGGTCCCAGGGCTGCGGGCTGGGCCACGGCCTCTCCGAGCTGCTGGTCGCTAGGCCCCGCTGCTGCCTTTGTCCCCTGCAGCCTGGATGAGGTTTGCTGCTGGCATCTTGAAGCTCAGGCTCTCCCTCCCGTCTCAAGAATGGAGACCGGAGGACTGGGCCACCTGGTCCAGGCGGGTGGCATGGCCGCTGGCACGTGCCACCGACCCCAGGGTGGCGGCGTGGAGGCGGCCGCACCCAAGTCCTCCTGTCGCCTCCCAGCTTGTGCACACCAGCAGAGGAAGCGCGGAGGGCCCCGGCTTGCTCTCCCCAGCCCCGTGTGAGCTGCCCTCTGGTAGTCGGGTCTGGGGCTGACCCTGTACGCTGCTCCCCGAGGACCCACACAAGTTGTTTGCGCTGCCTTACACAGGGAAAGAGGCTCGGGCAGGTGGACGGTTTCTGAGTGCCCCTGGCCTGCGTCTCCTCCCTGGACTCCTTCCTGGCCCAGGAGGACACTCTGGTAGCCCAAAGAGGGACTCCAGCGTTGCCTGCCCTGGGGGAGGGCCTGGAGAGCTGGCTGCGTGGGTGGGAGCCCTGGGTGTGGAGAGGCCTGGCCTCTACTCTGCCTCCAGCTGCCGCCATCTCCAGGGTCCCTGCCTGGCCCCGCTGCCCTTGCCCTCTGTGCCTCCTGGCAGAGTGTGACCATCCCACCAGCCTCGAGCGCTGTCGAGACAATGGAGCTGGGCTCCAGGATGGCCCGGCATCTGTCCCGAGGGCTGTGTGGGGACCGGCCTGACCTCCAGCAGATGTCAGGCCTGTGGAGGGTGTGTGTCTGGGACTCAGGGAGATCCTAAAATAAGCTGGCACGCCTGGACAGGTGGGGATTGGCTTGCTGGGGAAGCCCGCGTGGGCCGGGGCTTTCAAGACTTCGCATTCCTGGGACTTGGAGGGTGGGGACTTTGTACGAGGCTGGGAGGGGGGGGGCGTTGGCCTGGGAGGAAGACTTTGTAGGGGTCTGGACGTCACTGGCCTGGGAGGGGGCTTTGTAAGAGGCGGGAGCACAGCATCTCTTCAGGGGCTGTGAAATGTCTTGTGGTCAGAGGGTATTTCCCGGGCCCTGGGTGTCCCCCACAGGTGGCCCTAGTGTTGGCCAGACCCTTGTCTTTCCTGGGAGGGTCAGCCTCCAGCGAGGGGGCAGGACTCGCTGCGAACCCCCACTCTGACGCTGTTCTGCGCTGGTCCCTGTGGGGTGCTGGGGGTCAGGGAAGACCTCCCCCACAGCCCTGGGTCTCTCGGAAGGCCCAGAGGAGCGTCCCAGCACCACGCACGTGGTTCTGGTCTTGCCTTAGGGGTGGCTCGCGTCCGTGGCAGAGGAGTCTCCAAGGACAGACCTTGTCTTGATTGATTTACTCTGCTCTTTAAAAATACAATCAGGCTGGAACTTTCGGGTGAGTACTGCTGCTCCTACACAGGCTTATTTATAGAGGAAGGTGGGTGGCCCGGGTGTTGTAGCCGGCTCGGCTGGGTTATGTGCAGCCCCGGCTCCCCAGGTGCTCGACTCCTGACTGCCTGCGATGCAGCTGCCGGTGTCCCAGCCGAACTGTCGAGGCCTGGGCGGGGCACCGGGCTGGGAGGCCGCTGGCCTGTCCTGCGCCGCGGGGCCCGGGGCTGCGCCGAGGGGCCCGGGGACAGTGGGACCGTCAGGAAGGTCCTTTCAAAGCTTTTCTACCCCCAGGGTCAGACACCTAATGCCCGGGGTCAGCCCGCTCTGGAAGGGTGAAGGACGTGCCAAGGTCATTGGCAGCTTTAGGGCAGAGCGGGGTTGGTGAGGCTTGGCGTGGAAGCTGGAGAGTTTGGTAGGTCCCTGGCTGAACAGGCCTGAGTGAGTCCCCGTGACATCTCCTACGTGTCAGTGCTTTGAGATGTTTCCTGTCACTTCTTCTGAGGCCGCCAGTGTCTGGGCTGAAGGCAGGAGCTGGTGACCCCCGTGAGGAGTGTGGGGGGGGCTGGCTTTGTCCTGGCTGCGCCTGCCCTGGTGACTCTCAGTGCTGGAGGTCACGGGGCCGCCCAGGACTGAGCTGGACACACTCAGCAGGCCAGGGCTCTGTCCGTCCTGTCTGGCGTGGCCTCTCTGGGGGTGTCCTGGACCCCACTGTAATTCTGTCCCGTCTGGCGTTAGCTGGATCTCCTCCTGGACTTGGGATCCTCAGGTGGACGCTGTAGTACAGCTGCTGGTCTGTGCACCCAGCACTCGGGGACGAGGTGACACAGACGGCTGGGGAGCCAGCGGGCCGGGCTGCCTGTGCTCTGCGGAGTGTCCGTCCGGGGGTCTGGAGAGGGCGCTGTGGACGTGCCCCGTAATGTCACCGTCCTTCTCCCTCCGAGGCTGGAGGTGCCCTGCACGGGGCTGCGTGACACACGTGGGCAGGACCTGCGTGGGGGTCACGGGGTACACAGGGCACAGAGTCCACCTCCGAGACCTGCCTGGGCCTCTCGGGGCCAGCCATGTCGCCTTGTGTTTAGGAAGGGTTTCCCAGACCTGGCGCCCTGGGGGATGATGACCCCCGGCTCCACCGCCCTCCACGGTGGTCTCCCACCGTGGGAATGGTCGCTGGCATTGTCCGAGTCCACCATCTCTCTCCTCTGGGCATCACCGAGCCTGACCTCCAGCGCATGGGCGCCCTGTAAGGCACCTCGCCGGCCAGCCCGAGGGAGGCTGGTTTGGAACACAGGAGTGTGGAGGTGTGGGGCCACCTGTGGACAGCAGCCGTGATTCCTTTATCAGCCAGAGTCTCCTGGCTGGTGCTGCCCCCCCCCGGCTTGTGGAGGGTGGGGTGGGTCAGCACCAGCTGCTGGCCGGGCAGGACTGGCACGGGCCAAGGTCCTGGGTTAGCTGGCCAAAGGAGCTGATGGGAAGAGGAGGTGCACCCAGGGACCCGTGGCCAGGGGAGTCCTGTGTGCTCTGGGCCCGAAGCTGCCCCAGGGAGTGTGGGGAGCAGCAGGGGGCTGTCTCAGGAACTCCAGGGTGGGAGGGGTATCGAGGCAGAGCGGGGCTTGGAGGGCTTGTAGAGGGTACCGCAGAGACAGGCCAGGGAGGTGCCGGAGACCCACGCCTTCCAGGCTATAAAGGAAGCTTGGCATCACCCTCCGCCCCCCCCCACGCTGAGGGCCGCTGCCGCCCTCCACGGCGCGCTCGGGGTGGTCTGGCCGCCCCCCTCCACGCCGTGCCGTGGGCCGGGCTCCCAGCCGCCGGCGGACACCCCTCCCAGGGTCAGGATGTGGAGGAGGAGCACTGGGGACGGGGCGAGTCCCCAGCAGCCTGGCGGGCCCAGCGCCAAGTCCGATCAGCCCCGAGCAGTCAAGGTCAGGCACACATCCATTACCTTTGTTTCTCGCAGATGTCAGCCGGTGCTGAGCGGCCTCGAGGCCAGGCTTGGAGTTGCGCTCCTCCTCCAGACCGCCCTGTCCAACCCGCCCTCCTCCTCCGTGACTAGGGGCAGCCCTCAGCCCTGCGGCCCAGGTTGAATTTCTAAGCCTGAGAAGGCAGACTGGCCCTGGTCCTCCCAGAAGTGAGGCGCCTGGGCAGCTGCTGGGACCCGCAGAGCTGGGTCCCAGACACGATTTAGTCCAGGGCACGGACAGGGAGGCCTGAGAGAGTTGGCGGTAGGCCTGGGTCCATCCCCGGAGCCCCGTCCACCTAGGGTGACCTGGGCCCCCTGAGCCACGTGCCGATCGCTCCCCGGTCCTGACACTAGACAGGCCTGTACCGCTGCCTCCACGTGTCTGTCCGGCCCGTGTCCCGAGGGGTGGGGTGGCGAGGGCGGTGCTCTGCAAGCCTGCCAGGGTGATTAGAAGGGATGCCCTGGAAGGCAGCGCGCGTGCGTGCGCATGAGCCGGGTGTGGCCTCTGCAGCATTCAGCGCCACCCTTCCTGGCCTAGCGCAGGAGGGCCTAGCACAGGACCTCACCACCATCCCTGGGCAGCCTCACCCCTGCGGCCGCACTCCTGGAAGCAGAGGTTGTCCCCTGGTAGGAGGGCCACTGGCTGTCCAGAGAAGGGGCTTGGTGCAGGCCCGCCCTGCCTGTGCCGCTCCAGGGTGGGTCATCTGCGTGGGATGGCCGCATTCCGAGTCGTGGGGGAGACCGCCCCGCGCGGGCCGTAAGGACCCCTTGCAGGCGGAGTTGGTGGTAGCACAGTGCTGGCCACGGGCCTCAGAGGTGGGCAGGCCTGGTCTGTGGGGGTCAAGGAGCTGGGTGCCCCCTGGGCCAGTCTCCGGGTAGCATGGCACCCCAACCCAGCAGCACGCAGAGCGTTCTGGGC